GGGCAAGGACTGAGGGCAGAAGGTTTGCAGGAGAATGAATTTCTCTCTTTCTTTCTTTCTTTCTTTCTTTCTTTCTTTCTTTCTTTCTTTCTTTCTTTTCCACTTTGTTGTCCAGACTGAAGTGCAGAGGCATGATCACAGCTTGACTCAATGAAATCTCAACATCCTAAGCTTAGGTGATTTTTCTGCCTCAGCTTCCTGAGTAGGTGGTACTACAGGCATGTGCCACTATGCCTGGCTTTTCTTCCTTTATTTCTTTTCTTTTCTTTTTGAATTTTTGTAGACACAAGATCTTAGACTGATCTTGAACTCCTGAGTTCAAGCAGTCCTCTAGCCTTAGCCTCTCAAAGTGCTGAGATTACAGGTGTGAGCCACTGAACCTGGTTATCTCTTTGACCTTCTTTAGAAAACAGTTGACTTTCAAGGCATTAATGTATTACGTGACTTTAATAAAAAATGTCTCTACCCAGATTGCAATGTCCCATACATTCACCTTTTGTATTGGAAGACATAGTGGTTAAGGTAGTACTGGAATAAACACAACTGACTGTGAACTATTGTGTGTGACCTGAGGTAACTTTCTTTGGTTTCTCTTCACTTCTCTATACTTCAGTTGCCTCATCTGAGGAAAAATATTTACCCCTGAAGGTTATTGTGAACATTAAATTAGATAATTGATGTAAAGTGTCTAATACAATGCCTGGTACATGGTTATAATTGCTTAGTTAATGGTAGTTATCATTTTTATTTGTACATTATAAATTAGGAACACCTGGTAATGAAATTTGGACATGACACATGGTAGCAAGGTCTTACGAGAATGAGGGAATGCTGGCAGAGATGATCTGCGAGATTTCAGCTATTTAAAGATAATTTTCTTCTAGGCGTGTTGACTTATGCCTGTAATTCTAGTACTTTGGGAGGCCAGGGAAGGAGGATCGCTTGAACTCAGGAGTTTGAGATCAACCTGAACAACATAATGAGACCCCCATCTCAATAGATAGATAGATAGATAGAATTTTCCCGGTTACACAATATGTATGTTCTAGATTGGATTGGATAAAGTAACTCTTTACCGAGGTTTTATTCTCAATAGACCTGGGATTAATTCAATCTCCGGGAATAGCGTGGATGTGGCTCTTGGACAACGTCAGCCATTTAGCCTTCTCATGACTGTGAAAAACCCTTCCAGCGTAAAGATAGGCATGTTCAAAATACTGAGCTAGCGCTCAGTAGGCCTCCATTTATTGAATGACCGCATGATAATGACACCTGCTTCCCCCGCATCTCCTGAGCCCCTCACTTCTCCTGCGCCTCTGCAGGAGATAGCCAGCAAAGCGCAAAGAAGCCGGGCGCTCGCCAGGCCTAGTTCACAGACTCCGCTGCCAGTGCCAGGCTGCGACTGCTATGGAAACAACGGGAAATAACAACTCCACTCCCTCCGGGTGAGGGAGGCCCACGGAGGCAACGCCACCGGGAGGAACTGTTGTGCCATTCGAGCCGCAGCGCGGCGCCCCGGCCCAGCCCCCGCCTGGCCGGTGCCCAGGCCGCCCTCCCCCCCCCCACAAACCCGCCAGCGTCGGTAGGTACCTCTGCGGCAGGCACCTCCCTGGGGACCCGGCGACGGCCCCCGCCCCCCAGGACTCTGTCGCGCGTCCCTGCCAGCTGTATTCAAACAATGCCTCCCGGAGCTTCGCCCCCTGGCGGCGCTGGTCATCGGGGAGGGGGAGAGAGGTCCTGCACACGCGAGTCTTCTTTCTAAATTAAGAATCTGTCTCTCTTTCTAAATTAACTTTAGACATTTATTTTTCCGCAAAAGAAAAATCGGAGCAATTCCAGACAAGACTTTAATTGCTTTGAGAGCAAACAGGATATTGAGAGGCAAGGGTGCAAGAAGAGAGAAAAGCTGTTTGGAAAGAGCAGCCCAGACCTTAGACATTGGGGTTCACCGCATTTATAATCCGTGGGTGTCTGTGGTGCGTGTGCGCGCGCGCTCCCACTTCTCTCCCTCCTGCCCTAACTCGGCTGCTTGTGTAAGGCCCCTGGCGCAGCTCTCGCTCCCAGTGGTTCACTTTGATTCCGCCGGTGGAAGGTGACACAGGTGTCGCGCGCGCTCCGCGCGTGCTGATTGGTTGCGCAGACCACAGGGAACATACTTGAACGTTCACCGCAAGTCCCGCAGCTTGCAGTGCCTCCGCGGGGCGGACGCCAGGCGCGCGGCCGTTACTTCGCTCTCACTTGTGCATTTGTCAGTTTCCCCTGCGTTTCAGGAGGCGATATATCCCTCACGGCGTGCGCGGCGAGGCCGCTGGGGCCGCGGAGTTGCCTGCCCCTGCCCCGCAAGCCCGGGCAGCGCCCCGCGGGGAGGATGAGTGGCACCGGCGCCCGGTCCAGCCACCTGTCCCAGCCGGTCGTCAAGAGCGTGCTGGTGTACCGCAACGGGGACCCCTTCTTCGCGGGGCGACGCGTCGTCATCCACGAGAAGAAGGTGTCCAGCTTCGACGTCTTCCTGAAGGAGGTGACCGGCGGTGTGCAGGCGCCCTTTGGGGCTGTCAGGAACATCTACACCCCGCGGACCGGCCACCGCATCCGGAAGCTGGATCAAATCCAGAGCGGGGGCAACTACGTGGCTGGAGGCCAAGAAGCCTTCAAAAAACTCAAGTGAGTCGGTCCGTCCCCCCCACCGCCCGCTATTTCAGGGCGCACCCTATGATGTATGGTCGAGGTGAGGATATGCAGGACCCCCGCCCCACCCACACCTCGGTTGGGAGGCTGTGACTTGGCAGTGTGATGGTTCTCAAAACTCCCGTTGCATTTGGGGGCAGAGGTTGAAACTGTCTAGAGAAGGGATTTCACCTGGGTAGCAGTGGGAACAGACTTAAAGTTTGTACATAAACAGGAATCTTCAAAAAGGTATCCGTGCAAAGGTTAGTGACCAAATCGATGCTTATTCATTTTCTGTTCTGTTCCCCCTTCCCCCAAACTTATTTTTTCTTGGAACCTTTTAGATTAAATAAAGATTTCTTGAAAGTCACTTCCAGGCCGGGCGCGGTGACTCATGCCTATAATCCCGGCACTTTGGGAGACCGAGGTGAGAGGATTGCCTGAGCCCACGGGTTCGAGACCAGCCTGGGCAAATTGGCGAGACCTCGTCTCTACAATAAATCAAAAAATTAGCCGGGCATGGTGGCGCATATCTGTAGTTCCAGTTACTTGGAAGGCTGAGGCGGAAGAATCGCCTGAGCACAGCAGGTCGCGGCTGCGGTGGTTGTGAGCGTGCCACTGCCCTCCAGCCTGTGCGACAGAGTGAGAGTCCAAGTCAAAACAAACAAACACCCAAAAAACACACTTCCAAGTGTTGAACATTATATTGTCACAACATTAGAAAATTGCTCTGCATGCCTCTCCTCCACCATTTAAATTATTTCAACATTTTATTATATAATGACCTTCCATATCTTTTTAAATTCAAGTAGACTTGACATCTTCCTCCCAACCTGTGCATGTTTATGCTATTAGTATGATATGTGGAAAAATTTATTGGCTGACTATATTTGTCTACTTGTCTGTCTTCAGTAACGTGATGGTTAAACCTTAAAGGACAAGGGTCCTTATCCCCAGTTCCTGGCAGGGAGCACATTCCTTGCAGATGTTCAGTGAATTAGCAAACTGTTAATTCAGGGACCAAAGATGAACAAGACATAACTCCTTGTCTTTAGGAGTCTCCAGTCTAACAGGAGAGAGACTACATACACATTAACAATTTTAATGAGAAGTACAAAGGGATAAGTACAATTAGAAAAATAGGTATATTTTTGCGGGAGTTGTGACAGTTGGTAGGAGTGGGCATTATAGAACAGGTAGGGTTTTATATTCCATTAGTGTTTTTTCTAATAGTCTTATTGAGATATCTGTCACATAGCATAAAATCTACCCATTTCAATGGTTTTCAGTATATTCACAGAGTTGTGCAACCATTACCACAAAATAATTTTAGAAATCTCTACCATAAACCTAAGTCTGTGAATTCACAAGCATAATTGAATTATTAATGCCTAACATTTAAATACGGTTTTAGAACAGGCTTCTCAAAAATCACTCTGTAATCCCGCGCCTTTGGGAGGCCGAGGTGAGTGGATTGCCTGAGCTCGCGCGTTCGAGACCTGCCTGGGCAATTTGGCGAGACCTCATCTCTACAATAAATCAAAAAAAAAAAAAAAATATCCGGGTG